ATGCAAGAGTCAGTGTCAGGGAGTCATCATGACCTTGCTCATGCATCACCCCTGTTACGTCATTAGAAGCTCATGTGTCAAATCTCCCATCCAAGGGATTTACTCTTTTTCTTGGCTCAAAGTCATTTCAGGAAATCTTAGATGTCAAATTTTCTGCCCGTATTGTAGTTCCAGGACTAATGTGACCCAACATTTCCATGCATGGCCGGTTTTATGAAGGAGACTGTTCCTCAGGAAAGTGTTGTTCTCATAGTTCAAGAGATTTGAAATTGTATCCTTACCTGGGGATAATACTTGGGCCCTGCAGGTCTTTGCTTGGACTGTCAAAGAACCACTTCCTTTGTTAGGGTGGAATAACGAAGCAGCCTGCCCGTAGCTACTTCATTACCTGCCTGACTCATTTAGAGGCATTTGATTTCCTGTTCCCCTAATTATACGCTTCAGATTGCAGCAACTGAGAGAAGAACCATCTTTTGGAGAAGACAGAAATAATATCTTGTGTTTCTGTGTTGCCTGGGCATAGAAAGAGCAGCACAGTGCCCCCTCATTTCTCGTCACAGATTTCCTATCTTGGTTATACGGGCATTGAGTTAAAGGGAGTTTCTCTGAAACTGTCCCTAAAATTGGGGCAACACTCTTGCTTTTAGGAGAAACACGCGTTAGAGGAGGGATAAAGCACGAGAGAATGAATAAGGTAAATCCTTGTACTGTGGTTTTCCTGTAGCAGAACTGCTGTGATGCACGAATAACACGCTCATCAGAACAGTGGAGCAGCAAGTGCCACTCTGTGCATCAAGTAAGGAGCCGTCCATTGTCTTAGATGTTGAGTCCACCAACCATCTCCCTTTTCAGAGCTCCTCTCCAGAAGCTGCTTTTTGAATTATAAAGTTATTTTTCCTTCTGCTGCTTCTTTAGCTTATGGTACTGTCTGCCCTGTCAGTGTTGAGTAATGAGAAGAATTGATCACTTACCTCTTTATAATAGCCCTTTACATCTTTGTTGGCATGTACTGTGTGTGTCCCTGCACTTGCCTTTTGTCAGGCTGCAGGCCTCTCAATCTTTCTTCATGCAGATCTTTGTTTCCAAAACCGTTTTTTTGCTCTTTCCACTGCTATCCTCTTAAGTGCCATCAGCTTATCCTCCTTCTTTCGCGAAGATGAAGACTCTCAAGGCTGCCAGCTAGCTAAAGAACAAAACCATGGCTAGATCTTGACATTTTTAACCAAAAGCCATCATCTGCTTGTTTCCAGAGCTGGGTCTGCTATGTGTTTTCACAAGGCTGAGTCTTTGCCATGCCAGATAAAACGGAGAACAATGTTATTGTGGGGCCATGTTGTCACACATCATTGTGTGACAACTATATCTGGTTGCACTGTACTATGGCATTGCCATATCCCAAAGTAATGCCCTTCCTCTGCAAGGCAGTAGTAGGGTGGTGTGGTGGGAAGGAAGAATGTGCCACTACAACTGTGCTGCTGGGCAACGTAGTCATGGCATGGTCATCACAGAATAAACCAGCATTGTGCTTCCACAGTGGAGTGTAATGATCTTCCCTTGATATTGCTGTCACTCATCATGAGTGCTGTTATGTATGGGACAAATAAGAGGATCTGCCAGCTAGTTCCTTTGTCTCAAGCAGTAAAAATCCTGGATTCATTGATCATAGATAACCCATAACAAAGAGTCATTAGGTAATCAGAATGTCATTATGTAACAAATCATTTCATTTCACATCACACGGCACCATAACATGAAGTTTCTTAGGTCCTGTAAGTTATTCTGGAACCTTTTAAGGATGCACAGTACCTCCTAAAAAAGGGACAGATATAAAGGTGGCAGAAGTGTGAGTTCTGTTCTGAATTCAGCTCACAGCAGGTAGAGTTAAGGGCAATGTCACAGGAAACCCACTTATCTTCCCCTGAGTTTTCTTCTGAAATTTCAGTCTTGATAAGATTTTATTTTAAATGGAACTTTTTTGAATTTAGTATTTCAAAAGCTAAGCAGAGCTCTGAAATTGAAATTAGAGTAAGTCACATTCCTATCACCTGTTGCCATCTGCTGCCTGTGAGTACAGATTATGCATTAAGTGTCAAGCAGCATTTCCATAACATTTTTAAGGGATGAATATTGTTGAGAAGGCATCTGCAAAGTGAATCACAGAGAGAGCAGAAAGGTCATACTCTTGGCTGGTGTAAGTCAGCACAACTCCATTGGGAAAATCCTGATTTACACCAGCTGAATATGTGGCGTAATACTCTTTTCATCATCTGAGTTGGAAGGGCAGAGATTTAAGTGGTGATTTTAAGTTGCTTATGTTGGGAGCAGCAGTGAAGGCCATGAGGATGTCTCGACTCAGAATGAAGTTGAATAGTTCACCCATATGGAGACTCACAGAGCAAGGGGCTGGGAAGGACTCACCAAGTCCAGCGTGAAGACAGCAGGAGCTCTGAGGAGGGCACACTGTAATCACGGATCATTGTATCTGTGCTTCGGATAGCAAATAGACTCAAGCAGTGCCTTGCTAAAGCAGAGTGCCTGCATATTATTTTTTTGAAGCAGGTTGTGAAGATAATGGATGGAAATCTAACCATTTGCTGAAGAGAAACGTAATTTACCTCCTCAGCAGCATCGCTTACAACCCGAAACCCCCATCTAAATCTTGGATTCAGATCCAACTCATGGTCAATCTGGTGTTGCGGTTCTTTTCAAGAACAGAAAACCCATCCAAATTTAGATGGCTGGTTCAGAGCCGTACTTGCAGGTCACATCCATTCTCAGGTGTGGTTGCCAGGTTTCTTGTTTGCAAATTGGTGGTAATAGCATACACATATGTGTGTATTAGGAGTATGCTGAGAGATGAAATAATTCTGGGAAGTAGAGCTGTCTAGTCCTCTCCTAGCAGCCTTTATTGATTTTGCTGGTTTCCAGCAATCACAACTGCAAGTTGCTACTGGAATGACTTCATCTACCAATCCATGCATCGAGCATGTTGTGCTTGCTGGTACTTGCATGGAAGACACATCTAGAGTGGCTTGTTATGGACCAAACCTTGTCTTTCCATTTGGCTTTTCTGCCTTCCTGATTTTTTTTTGCTGCACTTACTACTCAGCCAGTTTTAGCGATGCACCACTGAGAATGGTAGGGATGAGAGATTTCAGTATAATGAGGCAGATTTCAGAGAGCTGAGGGAGAAGTGGAACGAAAACTTCCATTTAGGAATTGTTTGGTTGAGGGCTGTCTGGCTGCTGCTTTTTTTTTTTTTTTTTTTTTAAATAACGCTTTGAAATTATAGTTCATGTTGGACATTAAAGAACATTCAGTTTGTCATCCTGTATAAAATTACAAGGTATCAGATTATGTCATGGCCTTTACCTTACATGGAAGTCTTATAATGCTTGTTTTAATTGAAAAAAAAAAAAAAGGATATTCCATTTCCATGCTCCTTTAGGTAAATTACACTGCTTAATAATACCACTGAGGAACACATCTGAGCCTGGACAGGTTGTAGAAATATTTGCAATCAGAGTATCGTTATGGCTATAAAAATAACCTGTCACTTCAGTATGTGGTCATTACAGCAGAACTGATGTAACAATCCTTGAAAAACTCTTAACTGGAGCCAGGGCGTTACATCCTGATGTCCATACCTCTGTCCAAGCTCCAGCTTTGTTCAGGTAGAACTCTCACTGGGGTCTGTGAGAGCGGTACCTGGATAACCAGCAAGTAAACATTATTAAAAACATGATCATATATCAGAAAATGGTAAGCAAGCCCCATGTAAGTACTTTAAAACGTGTGTCATGATATGTCCTGTAACTTATTGTGTTGCCTGTATTTGTTTGTTAGTATGTAGTTGAGGTTTTCTGCACAGAAAAATCTTGAAGTTGAGCTTGTTATTCGTCCTGTACATAGGTCTACTCTTACTTGCTAGATAAAAGCCCATAGAGAAATTCTCCTGGTACTCTTGATGCACCAGTGCTGCCAAATATACAACATGACTGACAGCTTAAAATCTCCCTAGTAAGCTGTTAAAATTGCTTGGGACCCTTTTTGGTCAGAGAGCTGAACGACTAAATAGTCCATGGGAACAGAGCTGCTATCCCATTTCTAGAGCCATCATTCATAGATAAAGTGGAGGTTCACGGGCAGTACTTGCATTACAGAAAACTGTTTTGTCCAGTTTCTGTCTTGTGAATTAAGAAGTGGCTTGAATCTTAAGTTATTTTAACCCAGAACGTCCAACCAAGAATAAACTTATTTACAATTATTGCTAAATACAGGAACAAGTGTAGTTTTTTTTTCAGAGCATTCAGCTGGGGAGACCACACAAGAAAGCAGAAAATTTTCTGTTCACAGAAGAATTGGGTCAGGTATCAGTTCTCCTGATGTTCGTTGATGTAGTGTTGTAGGAACCATCAGCTGTAGAGTAAGGGAGCAACAGCAAAATATCAGCCTCCACATCAGCTCTGTGCTTTTCTGTTTTAGTCACTTGAAACCATGACACATGTCCCCAGTGTTAGTGTCTTCCATGTGCTGTGGAAGTCCGAGTGTCTGTAACCCAAGTACCGACAGCCATCGTGACAAACCAGTCTCTGCTGCAACTGTTCCCCACCCCTTTGGCAACCTGCAGTGATTGTATTTTGTCTCCGCTCCTTGGGAAATGCCATTGTGGTGGACTAGTGACGTAGAGTGGAAAGGGCATGAAAGGGGGAGTGAGGTATCTGCATCCTTCCTCCCCACCTCAAGTTTTATGCATGACTGCACCATTGAAAAGTAGTCCCTCCCCCGTAGAAACGTGTGTCACCTGTTTTGGTAGCGTGAGTGTGCAAAGCATCTTCCTGCTTCCCTGTGGCAGGGGCTCAGAAGACGTCTAGCACAAGTATCCGTGTGTTGAAGAAGTCTTCTGAAGCCCCGTGGGATCAGGAGGCTGAATTAGCATCCCACGTGGGAGTGGAGGAGGCTGAACTGGAGCTGAATTCTCTTTTCCTCTCCCTTGACAGGGCATCCCTTTGGAGCTCCTGCGTGGTCCTGCCTCTCCTGGCTCTCACCTGGATGTCTGCAGTTCTGGCAATCACAGATCGGCGGTCAGCACTCTTCCAGATCCTTTTTGCCGTCTTTGACTCGTTGGAGGGCTTTGTCATCGTTATGGTCCATTGCATCCTAAGGCGGGAGGTGAGATGAATGAGTCATTTTTTTAATGTAACCAACATACTTCCCACGGAAAACCTCTGAAAAGTGTCCAGTCAACGTGGTAGCTTCTCTAATCCTGTGAGCTTTTGCCTTTGTGTAGGCAAAAATGACAGTACCAGGAGGAGGGAAGGAGGGATGAATCAATGGTTGTCATGCTGAGTGTACTGAGTGGAATTTAAGGGTCAGTCTGAGATTACCTAACATGTCAGGCTTTGCTTGTTTAACACCAAAATTAATATTTCCAGAATGTTTACATCCTACCTCCAAAAATAGAATATTAAGAAAAATAATTTCTTTCTTTGATTTTAAGAGGGGCAACTTGCACTGAGATTTACCGAGTGATTGTATGTTGGCATTAGGGCCAGTGTATTTGAGCTAGAAAGTAAAGCTAGTAATAATCAGGCAAGGAAATTGAGTAAATTCTCTCCAGCCTCCCTGTGGAGATTTAAAACGGTAAATTATATCAGGGAAGAAAAGGACGAATCTTATGTTTCTTTTATTCTTTTCATCCTACTGAGTGGATAGACTATTAATAACAGAGGCAGGAAGGGTTTTTTTTTTTTTTCAATATTCATTTTATCTTCTTACAGCTCCTTTAAATTATGTAAAACAGATTAATTTCTTATGTCAGGCCAATGAAATCAATGGAATTACACCACTGGCTTGGCTGCGACTCCTTCAACTAATTGCTTTATGAATATAGGCCTGCATTTGACTCCTGTTGCAGTCACTGGCACTTTTTTCTGTTGATTTCAGTGAGGTTTGGATCAAATATATATTGCAGCCAATATAGCATCATAACCAGACATCATAGAACCCAATATAATGATTTACACAATAGCATCCATTGTAAACATAGTGCAAGCTGCAAAATAGAAGACATTTTTATTCTTGACTATATAGATCAAGCAACTAGAAGGGACCAGCACAGTGACCCAGGATACTCATAAAACCTTTAAGTTGCTCTGATAATACATGTGACTTATAAAGCATTTGAAATGAATACGTGAGTGCTACTGAAGTAGGATCCATGTTCTTTTGATCTACCAAGGAGTTTTATTTATTTTTTTTTCTTCAACAGAACTTAACATGGTTTGGTATTCCTGTCTGCCTCTGACTTCCGCAAATCCATTTTCTCCTGCAGGTCCAGGATGCTGTGAAGTGCCGAGTAGTGGATCGTCAGGAAGAGGGCAATGGAGACTCAGGGGGGTCATTTCAGAACGGACATGCTCAGCTAATGGTAGGGAAAACTACCACCTGTTATTAAGTCTACTATTAAAGGACCTATGGGCATTTTTAACTGATAAACAAAGGGCTCTGTCCATCACAGATTTTGCAATCATCATTCTTTTGTCCTTTAAACCTGTGCTTGAACAAATGGAGCACTTAGCATAGGCTCTTTCACACAAATCCAGTTTCTTTTTGTTGTGATATTAAGGGACTCAAATTTACGCACCAGGTTTTGCAGACGCCTTGGTGAGAGCCTTTCTTTCCCAGAAAACACAGAGCCAAAATATACCTCCTTGGTCTTCCAGACCTTTTCATCCCCATCATGCTGCCTTGTCCTAGCTGAAGCTAGGAGGCAGTAGTTCAATACTGTTTTAATCACAGCGTGTTGAGTCATTATTACAAAGACTCTGTCTCAAAGGGAATTGTTTCTCTCAAAAGCACATTTGTTTACTTTGCTTCACTGGGAATATAGTTTAAGCACTGTAAACCTTGATCCTGTTGTGCAAGTCCTTTGCAAACAGCTTAGATAAGGCCATAGAAGAATAAGCTATGGGGAATAGTCTTGCATCTGCTTCAGTGTTACGATGTAGATGATATACGAGGCATTTGATTTCTGAGGTTGGGGCAAGGGCATCAGAACAATCACAAGATTTGAACAAGTTCCAAAAACGTCTAGTTAATATTAGACCTATATCATAAGCCAATGGTGTTTTTTCCTGACACTCCTGTGCTAAGCTAAGCAGCTTATGCTTGGGTACGAGGTCTCCTTTCAAACAGCACAATCTTTAAGTCAAGACATCAAGAGATATATAATTCTACCACACCTCATAGGTATTTGTTAAAAACAGGTGCCTCATTTCTAATTTAAATGCATAGTCTTCTCGCTTTCAGACAGGGTCTTGCTATGCCTATTTACGTGTAATTAGAAAGCCCCTGGCGTGCCTAGCACTTTCGCTCCTTCAATAATAGAGACTATAATCATATCCAGTTTCAATCTTCTTTTCAATAAGTTAACACACTGAGCTTTTCTATTCTCCCTCTGTAAGACATTTGCCTTCAAATTATTTATATAATCCTTTTCCACATGCCCTTCAGACTTTCACCATCCTTTAAAAATGTGAATGCTGTAGTTGTTATTCTATTGTCACCATCCCAAGCACTATATTCTGAAGTTTCAGATTTTTGCCACTCTCTACATCTCCCTGTTTTCATTCGTTGTCAACCACCTTGCAAAATTCTATGTCAGCTTCAAGTTTTTTAGCAGTGAGATTACATTTACTTCTGCACTGTTGATGGATGTGTTGAGAAGTAGGGAGCTTACAATCAGTCTCTCCACATTCATACACAAAAAGCTCTGGAATCTAGATGTGAATGATGGCTTCTCACTGATATTTTTAGAGGGGTGCAATGTTATTTTATAGTGGCTGAGTTGTAAAATAACCAAAGAAATCAAAAGCTTTGCAGGATGGCATTTTTGCCATTACCTTTTCCAGTAATCTCCAACTCTGCCCAACAAGTGAAAAGAAGCTTAGCTGAGTAGAACTGTTTTCCACAAAATCATGTTGACTGGTATTAAATATCCACCTATCTTTTATTTATTTATCAGTAGAACTAGTACAGTCTGTTCAGTTACATTTTTCTGGAACTCCTATCATGAAAATGAGATTATATTTTTCTGTGTCAACCCACTTCCCCATTTAAACATTAGTTCAGTTTTATTTCTCTTCTGTTCTTTTCAGATTTTTTTGATATCCCAAATAATTTACTAAGAAATTTGCGTCAAGAAGGTTGAGATAATTCCTCAACCAACTCTTCAAAAACTCTTGGATCTCAATCTGCTATTATTAAAGTGTCTGTCCCAGGGGATGAGGATTTTTTTTCACAGTCTTCTTAGTATTAAACTGGAATGCATTTAGTCACATTAATACAGTTATATTAAGTGTCTTGTTTCTGAAATGGTACTAGAAATAATCAGTGAACTCTTCTACCTTTTGCTACTCTGTGGCCTTTCCATTATTCCATGAAAACTCATGGCCCACTGTGACTCAGTGTATCCAGCTCTTTGAAATGTTATCTGCTAAAAGCTTTAGAGAAAGGATTAGCTCATACTGGGAGAAAAAAAGGAGTTTCATTTGGCTGTACAGACCGCTTGAAAAAGTTATTCAGCCTTTGTGCCTGCAGGGACCATTGATTTTATACACTAAGGGTGTCAGAAGCAGAGACTTGTTTCCACTTAATATGACTTGGTGATAGATCACAAGAAAGCCCTGTGGGTGTGGAGGGTTCTCAGCAGCATCCCCAGACCTTTTTAATGAGTGGAGGGGAATCCACTTAGACTAAGTGTGGGATGATATCCCCAAGGCAGATCAGGCGAGGAATCTGTCCCCTGTTTTTTAGGAACATGCATAAATGTGTTCCAAGGAGATATTTTAATCTGGCAGCCCAGGAATCCGTGTATGGATGAGCAGATGAATCCAGGTGAAAAGCAGTGCTACAGCTTTACAGCTGCCTGAGGTTCAAAAGCTGCAGGTGGAAAAAAGTGGTCTGTTTGCCACGTTTCCAAGCCCAAGCAAAACGTCTCTCCTCCACTTTTCTGGCAAAGGTTCTTTCTGCCTCACTAATTAAAGTGTATCTTTGCATTTTCCACGTGGCTTGCTTTCCCCCACCACCTCCTTTTGACCACGTCCTCTGTGTTCTCTGTCTTTCAGACCGATTTTGAGAAGGACGTGGATATGGCTTGTAGATCAGGTGAGCACATCACAGGTGAGAATCAACAAGTGACCTGGTTTGGGGATTGAACTAGGCCATTTTTTTTTTCCTTTCTGTTTTATTTGTGTGTGTGTCTCAGTGGCTTGCATGTACTGGCGTGGGCTGCCCTTACTCTCAACCCTGGCCAAAAAAAAGCAACACCCCTAATTCTCCCCCATGCTTTGCGTCAGCTGTTTCCCTGTAGCTCTCTTGGCCTTTTAACTAAGGTTAAGCCTTGCCTCCGAGGTGTTACTTCTTACCTATGGCCCATGTAACATGGTGGCAGAGAAGAGCATCAAGAAAGAAGAGATTGGATCCATCTCTTCCTACTGTGGTTCTTCTTTGCTTTAGCAACCCCTGCCCAAGCGGCTCACACTGGTCACACCAACCTCAGACACCTCTGTGCTCAGGAGAGGTGTCTTTGAGAAGGTCTGGAACCTGAAGAGCCTTCCCACCACTCCACCTGGCTCCATGCACACTTCTAGTGCAGTTGTAAGCTGCCTGTACATGTGGAGGCGGGTCACGTCTCTCCTTCGCCTGCACCTTTCCGATGTGTGTTCAATCACACACATTTCATGTTGATCCTAAAGATCTGCATGAGTCAAGAGTCCCTTTCCCCAGTAACTTTTTCTCTCATTCCCCTGAGGATGTCTGTGCCGTCTGGATTCTCCTTTGCTACCTGTTTGTCTCTGCAGGTTTTTTTCCTCTCCCGGTCCTGGCATGCCTGACCATTTGACTGGGTTTTTTTCCCTTACCTTTTGTAGATATTTAGGCTTTTACCCTCCCAGATTTCTCCCCTCTCCCAAGCAAGAGAAATACCAGCTTGCTTGGTACTTGCATATGATTCATATCTTCCAAACCAGGATCTTCCATAAGCCAAGGACAGTGCATACTGGGTGTTCAGTTACCATCATGGGGAAGCTGTTCTTTTTCTCTCTCTCTTACTTTTCCTTTCCATTTTCTTTCTTTCTTTCTTTCTTTCTTTCTCTCTTTCTCTCTTTCTTTCTGTCTTTCTTTCTCTCTTTCTCTCTTTCTTTCTCTCTCTCCTTCTCTCTTTCTCTCTTTCTCTCTTTCTCTCCTTCTCTCCTTCTCTCCTTCTCTCTCTCTTTCTACACACATCTACCTGTCCCTTTCATTTATCTTTTTCTTTATCTAATCTATCCTTTATTTATCTGCTTCTAATGTATTTATCTGTAACTCATCTCTTTCTCTCTATCTTGCAATCACTTATTTATCTCTGTCCTCAGCTGTCTGTCTTGCTGTACCTGTTATTTGTGTCTATCTCTGTCGACATTTATCTCTGCCACTGTGTTTCTGTGTATTGTCTGTCACTGTCACTATCATTTATCTGTCTAATATCTATCTATATCTTATTTATCTTTTCCTGTCCTTCTCTCTGCCTCACTCCCTCTCTTTATGCTTATCACAGTCACAGTATATTTATCTCACTTATCCCTGTGATATCTTATTTCATGGTCTCTTTCAGTACATTTATCTCTTTTCAGGGTCTGTCCATTTTTTTCTTTCCATTTCTCTGTCTCACACTCTCTGATCTAATTTCTAGCTGCCTCCCTCTTCTCATTTGTCTTCCTCCTTCCTTCTTGACACCAAAGATCTCAGTTCCAAAAAATCACGTGCGAAAAATGGGCACGTGAGACCAGGTCTGACTTGAACGCATGCTCAACATACATCCAGGGTGGGTGTTGGCACGCACAACCAGCTACACAGCCAGCAGCCCACCTTGTGCTGGAGACCAAGGTAGACCCTGGACTCCTGCAATAACGGAGCCTTTCTGGATCTGCTACTGAGTTTCTTGCTCCCAAATTGAGCTTCTTGGAAGAAAGGAAGGAGCTGACTGGCTTCAGGGCAGAAGACCCTGGATCAGCAGCTTGCTATCAGCCTAGACTTCCCTTCCTTTGCCAGCATCCCAGCTGTACAATTTGTTTGTTGATGTCTGCCTGAAGACATATTCCTCCTCTGATAAAGTGCTGTTAGTCTGCACCAGGCTAAGTAGTTAATAACAGTCCCCATTTCAGAGACCTTTCTATATGATGCATCGTCCTATGCATTCTGCTTATTGGATAATAAAAAATAGAAATCCGTCCATTGTTTTCTGGCTGTCACTTCTCCTGGAGGCACCAGCTCTTGTGTTATGATGGGTTGGAGATATGTCTGATACCGCTCATAACCTCCTCGCTTAGATTCACTGATAGGATTGGGTCCATGGCTCAGTGTCAAAAGCACACTCTGCTCCATGCTTGGAGACTGCCAAGTGCAAACCTCTCCAAACCTGCTTTCTGCAGCTGATGTGAGTGTGGAGAAGAGCCTGAATCAATAAACCTTACTGACACTGCCACATGAAGGGTTTGACACTGGTAACATCTTCCTGCAGTGTATGCTGTGAATGCACTGTAATGCTCTGGTTTATCCTAGTGTGTCCTCTAGCAATGTCAAGGTGACCACAGCTGCCATTGGTACACCCAGTGTGTTTAGCTTTAAAAGCTTTTTAAAAGTCCTTTTACTCTACTTGGTGTCCTTGTCATCCTGCCCTGCCTGCTCTGTAGTCTTTGAGGGGAACTCTGCTCTTTCAGCACCCATCACTCCCAGTATGAGTTGGCAGAAAAATTAGTGTCCTCAGTCCCAAGGGGTGCCTGTGTCGTGTCCTGCCTCTGTCCTAGGTGGAGCAGCTGAATAGTATCAGGTTACCCCAAAGATCCTTGTCTCTGGTCCATTGAGAAAGAAGACGTAAAAGGACCTTCTCTTCTTTTTTTTTTTTTTTTTCCTTCTGAGATGGGTGAAAGGGGAACATGCATTTATTTCTCCTTTCCTGTGCTGAAATACTGGGTAAGTAGCCTTCAGTCCCGCACCACTTTGCCCCTGCCCCACAGTCTGTGATTTCCATCCCCTGGAGACATCAAGGCTGACGTCATTATCTTCCTAAGGTCTTTGTTGCAGCCTGAAACCAACTGAGCAATAAGTTCTTATGCCTAGAAAAGAAGCAGATGTTTTGTTGTGGACAGTGTGTGGGAACGAGTGTCTGTATGTCCTTTATATACCTCCTAATTGGCATGTTCACCTCATCCTCAATTTAAGGTTTTCCTCTCCTATTAAGGAATATTCATGGTAATCCTTTCTTTCCTCAAGGGAAATTGAAAAAGACTAAATAATTAGCTCTCACAAAAGCTTGCCATGATTACTAGTATGTAAGCTTTTTGGAGGGCAGTTAGAAATTCATAACAAAATGTGGTGTATTTTAAAATACTAAATTATTGACACTGAAACTAGGGAAAAGAGCAACCTGAAACAGTTCAGCAAGTTTAAAAAAAAAAAAAAAAAAATTTGAAATCATTAATAATGCTCAGTTTCAGCAATTTTCTGAATCAAAATAATTTTTTACATGGAAGAAACCATTTACTTTAAAGAATTCTGCTCCTCCATAGGCTAGTAAGATGTGTGTATTTTATATATGTACATGTACTACATGTACTAAATATGTATACATGTATTTGCTTTTCAAGATACTGTTATTGATATGACAATGCGTGTTGGCCTGTTTGGAAGTTTTGGCCATGATTGGTTTGGAAAATTATCATCACAGAGAACAGTCTCAAAATTAGAAAGTTTTTTTATCTCTCTAGCTTTAGTTTTGCCTTCAGCATCCTGGATTTAAAACAAAACAAAACAAAAAACAGTGTAAAACACCTTTCTGCCACCATAGCCTCTTTCTGAGAGGTCCAAGGGAACATGCTAGCATGGTGTGGCTGTGATACGTGTATGGATGTGTTAACAAAAACCCAGGTGAGGTGCTAAGGATACTTATCTGTCTCCCTAGTGTTGAATAAAGACATCACCACCTGCAGGACCTCAACCATCACGGGAACACTGAAGCGTCCATCACTGCCGGATGAAGAGAAATTGAAACTCAATCACCAGAAAGGGTCATCAAACTTTAACAGTCTTCCAGCCAACGTCTCCAAGATGCATCTCCAGGGCTCACCACACTACTTGGGGGCCATCAACCTGAATGAGTTCAGCAATCACACACTTACTCTGAAGAAGGACAAGAACCAGCCTCCTAAGTCCATCTACATCTGTGATGGGGACATCTTCAAGAAGTTGGACTCAGAACTCTCCCGGGCGCAAGAGCAAACGCTGGACACCAGCTACGTCATTCTGCCTACCAACACGTCTACCTTACGGGCCAAACAACCCAAAGACGAGAGCAAATACAGCATCAATATTGACCAGATGCCCCAGACACGGCTCATCCACCTCAGTATGGCTACTGACCCGGGCTTTGTTGTGAAGAGTCCTCCACGGGAGCCTGTATCCATGACATGCAGTGAGGTTCAAGGTTCCCCCATGATACAACAACAGCAGCAGCTGGCTCCACAAAATATCTCCAACGAGTCACAGATTCCCAACAGCCTGTGTGACACAGGTGACTCAGGGAATTCGGGTGTGGTGTCCAAGAGTGAGACCGTCTCCACCCTCTCCATGAGCTCCTTGGAGGTGAGCATGTGAATCACTGTATTGTTCTCAGCCCAGAATGATACCCTGCCCTCAACACTGCCCACACCATGTGTTTCAAGAGAAGCACCTTAAGCCAACTGCAGCCCACCACGCAATTCCATTATGTTATCATGAAGGATCACTAACATGTGATACCATTTTGTAATGTAATGTTTAAAATCCCTGATGATTTCCACAGACATATTCCATTGCTGGATGAATGGTCTTTAGCCCTACAGGCAATGCAAAGTCCAATAAAAATGTTAGGTCATCAAAGACTGTTTGTTTTAATGCAAGGCACATGGCTTGCATTTCCTTTTCTCCCATCTTCTGCCTCTGTTCCCTGTTTTGATGACTTCAGACATGACGTAGATGAGAAAACCCTAGGTGTGAAATATCCCTAAGGCCTGTCCCACAGTGCTCTTATCATCAGAGGGATATGAGAGGTTTTCCAGCCCTCCCCTTCCAACCTGTGATAACTCTTTACATATTAGCAGTTCTCCCTAGACCTTAGATGTTACACTGGGGCCTGTCCCAGGGCATCTGGCCCTTTTCTTGCCTATTGTCAGAGAGCAGGTCTCGGCCATTGCTGTCCAAACTTCAGTCTCGGCTGACTGGTGCTCAAAAGCTCTGGTAGATCAGTTGGTTGATCTACTGCTCCCTCTCTGGTTCCCATTCTGTGAATGACCTGTAAGCTCATAACTAGGACAGAGTTTGAGTTGGCCGAACTCCCATGCTCAGCCCATGCTCAGCCCTCCTCAAGGCTCAGTATTTTTTTGGTAGATATCCCTCTAAATGGCTGTCACTTTCCACCATGAGAGAAACACGTTACATGTGTAGGAAGAAGGAAAAGGAGAAGGACTCTCCCTGTTCATAACCTACTGTGTGGTTGAATTTGTGCCCACTCACCAGCATCAACCCCTGACTAACCACCCATCTCATTTTCTTTTGAATACCCAGAGGCGGAAATCCCGGTACGCAGAGCTAGATTTTGAGGTGAGTACATCCCTTTCTGAATGTGCTTTTCTAGGGACAGGATGGGGAAAAGAAATGCTGCTTTCTTTTCTTTCTAGCACCTTTGCAGGAGTGCTGCCTTTGCCAAAGATCTTCTTCAAGGGTTTAAAACCAGTGGGTTGAAAGAGTTGTGCTGGGTGCCTAGTGAGGCTTACCCTGTGCAGCTAAACGAATGGGTGATTTACATTGGTACATGCTTAATTTATGGAGTAGTAGCTTCTGCATAAACATTTGTAAATCAAGATCTTACATCGGCTTGCCCAAGGCCTGTAACTTACCCTCTGTGAGCAAAACGCCTATGGAGATCTGATGGAGCAGCAGGTGACTGCACCACGTTCCTGTTTGGGAAGCACACATACATTTGGTTGGTGGCCTAAAATGCCTTGCCTTTTGCGTGCAAGATCTGTTGCTTTACAGAAAGGAAGCTAATATGTCCCCACTGTCACAACCCTGGTCCTTCACACCTATTAATGACCCTCAGAATCAGCCTGGGTGGAAAAGGTCTATCCTGTATGTAGAGAAATGTCTCTCCTTACACCTGAGACAGAGAGTGGAAAGCTTTGAAAGAGCCAGTCCTCCACAGAGGGTCTGTGAGGCTACTGAGAGCTAGTGCAGCTATCCTGAGTCAAATCATAGCATCCTTCCTGGCAGAGCTTTCCTTTCAAACTGCTTGCTTATTCCGAAACAGAGTCATATTAAGGACCCACGAGGAGTTGCTTCAGAGCTCCAGGTTGTGAGCTTGGTCTCAAATTGAGGCATGATGGCTACATCTAAGCTGATACGTCAAGTTGATTCCAAACCATTTGAGTCACCTTCTCCAGCACTTGGCAGAGCACAAGAAAGCCATATTCAACATGCTCTTACATGCAAAGGGAAGGCGTTATAGAAATTCTCCTTCTGGGCAGTAGAAAGTAGAAGTGAAACACAAAAGGGCCAAAATACAGAGAAAAGGAAATTGTGGAATAGTTTCTGAAGGAACTTCTTGTACCCAAACTCTACATATTTGAGTAAAGTCTTAACACATTTGCAAACGAGACATTCTGAGAACAGAGTAGGCATGGGGTCAGGCGTCACTTAAAGAAAGCCAGCAAAGCTTCCTAGGTCTACCTAGTAGAACATTGACAGTCAAGCACAAATTCTGCAGCATAAGCAGTTGGCAGTTGCAGGTTTAGAGTAAGCATAATGTCAAAAATCAGTCTTTTCCACTTTCTCCCACCATCTCAAAATAAAGGCAGTGCTGCAACGGGTCTTCAGTGAACTTTGAAAGTAGTTTAGGCATGCCAGATTGGGCCTGCAGGGAGACAGAGCTACATGATAATGTATTTGACTCTGGGGGGAAGATATGTACAGCTGAACAGGGTTTGCTGACCTGTGGCCTTTGTGTTTGCTTTAGAAAATCATGCACACAAGAAAACGTCACCAAGACATGTTCCAAGACCTGAACAGAAAACTTCAGCATGCAGAGAAGGAGAAGGAGTCTCCAACAACGGACAGCAAGGTTAGTCAGACACTTCCAGAACCATCATCTCCTAGAGCCCTCTAGGAGCTCTAGTGCCTCTAGAACCATCATCTCCCAGTGCCAGCAGAAGCACGGGAAGAAACAGGAAAGTTTAGGAGCTCTCATTGAATACTCTACCTTGAGTTTCTCTCCATGCATGTTGCAACAAAACACGTGCAGCACAAAAGACGTGGAGAGTCACAGAGGTACCACTAGGCTTATCTACAGAGTGGTCAGCAGCCCAAGAGAATGTCTGTCCTCATCTCTGTTCATGGTGAATAGAGTCTGTGTTGTCTTTGTGTTTGTTCCCCACGTCTGTGTCTGTTCTTTACATTCCCTTTCATGTCATCTCCAAGTACCCCTCATAGCTAGGAACTGGAAACTAGAACACCCTTAAGGAAATCTAGGTGAC